CGTAAAAACTGTAAACCGTGTTACCTATCGAACTCTGTTTAGAAAATCTCATATCTTTGTAATCGCTGGGTATCGCTCTTTCTACTTTTGTGTGAGGATACATAAATATTCTATCTTTGTTTTGGCAAAAAAACAAAGAGGTGCGAAGAGGTGCATTTTTTTAATGGCATGACAAATATAATTCAATATACAAAAAACGTGTACTTCTTGCAAATTTTATTTATAGTAGATTTCAGAAACTTTTCAATTAAACGTTTGTTAAAAATAAAACTAGACAAATAGAATGTTAGATTAAAAAAATGATTTTAATGATAAAAACTTTTTGATGGAGTATTAGAAGAATCATTTTAATGATTATGCGCATGTTATTTTTCATTTCGCAATACATGTACATTTGCGTCAACTTATTTCCATAATACAATAAAATTTTATTAAACTGTTACTCTAAAATTGATTAATTTGAATCTTTTTTTGGAAGAATATTTATAAGGAGAACCGAAAATTCGGAGTTTAATTTTTTCTAATTTTGGCCACATTTTTCTATTTTCGCAACACTGTGCGGAGGGTCGGCGCGAGCCTTCAGACGGCACATGCTGCAGAGTGTGCGCGCGCGTGTGTATGTGCGTGCGTGCGTGCGTGCGTGCGTGCGTGCGTGCGTGCGTGTTCTCTGAAAGACTACGAAGGTATATAAATTATTATTTATAAGCAATATGCATAAGCTGAAATAAGTAATAAATTGATTGTATATTGCCTGAATGCTCGCGCCCACCCGCCGTCTTTGCGTCGCTCTGTAGGACGATCTTTCAATCGTAATGCAACGTGTGACCACTTCAATTAAAGCTCTTGAAAAATGCTATAAGTTTTATACAATGCATTTTTTCGATAAATTTCGAAGGAAACGAGATATAAGCGATTTAAGATCAATTTACAAATTTTTTAAACTACTTTTCATATTTTTTTCCAAATTTCTCGATAAATGTTCATTGTAGACAAAAAAACTTATGGGACATAAATTGCAGAGCGCAAAAAAAGCTAAAAAATGAGCTATTATACGACTATATAACTTCATTAGAAGCCGAGTTATTGCAAATACGATTTTTTCGGTTTTTTCAAGATGGCGGCGTTCACACAACCTCGATCGATACGGAAACTTAGAGTTAAGCTTTTCTTGACCTCCCAAACAACCCCCAAGAGGAAAATCATTTAGGGGATTTTTTACAAGGTGAAATGACAATTTGACTGGACTAAAAGTGCAATTTTTCCCCTCCTTTAATAATCTCCTACGACGAATGTCTCCATTTTTATAGGATTAATTGAAATTCATAGTTTTCTGTGCGATTGTCGTATTCTATTATTACCTTTAATATAAATTGCATCCGTTTTGTTAATAATTTTAAACTAAAGTATATTGCGAAGAAAACGTAGCTTTTTTAACACACATATATCGTAGCTATATTTGTTTGTTCCGACTGTCATAATTTTGGCTTTCTTCCAAATTTTGTCACAGCGAAGAATTATTGAATTCTCTGTCAACTTTCTTCTCTGATTTTATCCGTCGAATAATGGAGAACACCTAAATGCCTCCAATCATAAAAATATACCAGGTGATGCATTGATTAATTAAATTATTTCACTTGTGCTGTTTTCTGCATCGGTTATATTGAATTAAGATACTAACAAACAAAATGCATATACATTCCTTTATTATTCACATTTTACTTTATTATTCACATTTATACAAAGTGAAATTCCCATGACATTGAATCGCTGTAGAAGATATTAATACACAATGTTTCCAATGTTGTGCTTTTAACTGAATGTGGCAGGGGAATTGTTTAAATTACAAATTCTGGATAGTGCGCACACGCGCGCGTTGCATTTATTTAATAAATTATTCACACGTATATCGGTGCTAGAAATTGATAGTCAAATGAAATGTGATATGTAATAGCACATATTTCTTCTTAACAGTAGAAAAATATTATTCTACTGTTAAGAAAAATGATTATTTAGTTTACTTTTTTTAAGGCAACGATTATTTTTAATAGAAAATGTTTTCTTGATAACATTAAATTTATTTATTATATACTTAAAAAAAATTTATTATCATGTACTCAAAACAAGAATTTATTTTCTGTTAAAAAATATTATAAAATTTCAAAAATCGACTTTATTTATAATATAATAATATAATAAGTAAATCTCGAATTTATTTTAATTTAATAATATTGATTGAATCGTTAAACTTTAAATAATATTTAGAATATATTGAAAAAAATTACATTATATTTATTATTTAAACTATACCAAAAACCGTATGTATTGTTGATGATGAAAATAAATGTGTAGCGGATCTAGAATTCCACCATTTTGATTGAAACTACGATCACGATTACGCGATGTGCGAAATCGATTACCAGAGAGAAGTGATTAACGGATGTGCTTTTCGTCACTCATCCGGAAACTTAAGCCAAGATTTAAACATTAATTTCTTGTCAGCACGAGCGCGCGCGCTTAATATCTACACCTTGGCACGAGACGCGCAAAGCGTACTGGCTACTAGATCTTCAGTAGCGATGTTGAAACCAGGCTTATGACACGCTCGGATAAGCCGGCCGTGTATTATAACGGCATTTAATACCGCTCATTGTTCTTTTCCCCCGGTCTTTATTATAATAATAGATCCGATATATCTGAAGGGAGCGCAGAGTACCACGTGTTTGAGTTACCATCGTTTCTTAATCGTGGCAGGATCAAGGCACCGGATAGAAACTAAGGCTGATACAAATGATCCGACGTGGAAGCTTACGATAGCTGTAAGACTTTGAATTTAAAATAAAGATAAGTAGTAAAGGACTCTTATTTTTCAAATAAAAACACGATAAACAAAGGACGTATATATAAGAGTCGGTTATAAATATTTATATACTTTGAATTTATTACATAAAATGTTTAAAAATGTTAACGCGCATGAATTATGAATCTCTAATGTGTATCAGAAGACACGGTAGTGTCTCCGGCCATGTTCAAAAACTACTAGTTAATATATGAAGGATTAATAATAATAGACACTACAAGTCTCTTATCCCGAGCCACCAAAATCCATTTTTGGGGGGTGCATAACTTCTAAAATATAAAAAATTTTGAATCGAACGTTATATGTCCTGAAAGGCGGCATCGCCACGAGTAATTTGAACCAAAAGAATTTAAAATCGGTCAAACCATTTTGGAGATACAAGCGGTCGAAAAGTGATGACTTTGAAAAATTAAGAAACGTCTCCTTCTCCGTCTGTCTGTCTGTATGTATGTCCGTCTGTCCGAAATTATAACTTTTTAACATCCCCTCTCACCTTTCATTCACACCTCCACTATCTTCGACCCACCGGACCTTCTCCCCCCGCCCTTAAAATCATATCATAAAAATGAAAAATTCAAGCCATGTTCAAAAAAAGATACTCAAAAATTTAAACCTTTTTATCTAATAATAATATATTACCACGAAAAATAACTGATATACTATTAATTAAAGGTATCAGTTCAAAGTGAACATACATAAAGTGTATGTAACTTTCGGCCGATTTTCGAATCATCTCCGCCTTCCGCTGTCCCCCTCACCCTTGAGACATTTGATCTGCGCGCGGGACGGTGAGAGGAACAGCGGAAGGCGGAGATGATTCAAAAATCGGCCGAAAGTTACATACACTTTATGTATGTTCACTTTGAACTGATACCTTTAATTAATAGTATATCAGTTACTTTTCGTGGTAATATAACTAATATATTATTATTAGATAATGTTTGTTATCATTAGCAACCCTACGCAATTAAAGCTTCGTAACTAGAACGCGTATCGAACATTCTCGCTCTCGGTATTCTATCATCGACAAGTTATAGCACTGGTAGCTATAATAGATTGATGAGACAAGGAGCGCGCGTCGTGAAAATAGGAAATAAAACTTACGATACGATCGTAGGCGGCAATAAGAAATAATTATATCATCGAGCACGTGCCAGTCAATGTTGTGAATGTCATTTATTATATTTTAATATAGCGTATTAAATATTATTAGAATAATTAATACGTTAAACAGGGCGAAATAAGAATCAAATTACAATTGAAAATCTAAATCTGATAATTTATTCTAATATATTGCAAAGAATATCACGTAATTTTTGGCGTTTTGTCCCGGCTTCCACTACTGGACTCATCAGTAAGGCATTGTAGTGAAAACCTACCTTATACGCCTTGGTAAATTATTAAATCGAGATTCTATATAAAGAGATATACGCGTGTCTCAGCACTTACGAGAATTTGCGAATATCGATAGACCTCTGATGATGAGTTGACGTAGTAATATTCTTCGCAATATTTATCCAAAGTAAGAAATAACGTTCTATTAATATATGTACTCCCCCCAAATTGCGTGCCGAACAATTGTCGGTCTTGCAACGCAACTCTAATAATCTGAAATGTTCCCCCTCCCTAAATATTATTAGTACACCGAATAAAATTTGCTAAAAATTTATATAGACACAGATCTGAAAATAATTTTGTTTAACTCATTCAGATAATTAAGCAGGACGCAGTTTAAATTGCCATCAACATTTGAGTGCTTTACACAATTATTTTTTTTACATAATGTTTACTCCCGACTGCTGCCAACCGAAAAATGAGAAGAATATACGTTTTCCTACATATATAATTATATGTTTAATGATTTAACTATATATATAGATCTGCAAAAATAATTTAGATGATTAAAATAATTATGTATAGAACGTTTAAATGTTGATGAATGTAAGTTGCGTCCTGCTTAATTATTTTTAATGATTCAAATAAAATTATTTTTGGATCTGTGTTTACCTAAATTTTTAAATACTTTAGCAAAACCGTTTTTTTTTTTTGTAGTTTAACATACGAAATGTTCGCAAATGATTACTTTCTGCATATAATAAAAAAAAGCGAAAACGATAATAAAACAACAATTTAATACAAAAAGGCTACGAACCATAGAAGTTATTTTAATAACAAAAATTTGTACTTAAAAATAATAATTAAACACAGATATTTCGACCTACATATGAAACCATTATAACATGGAGCAATAATATTTCACGTTTCTTCCGCGATAGCCCTCGTTTGAATGACAAATCTCCAAGAGTTCACCAGCATAAATCATCATATTTTTCCTCAAGAAGTTTCGATGAATTTCGACGTATGCCGTTCAATAGCGACGCGATCCAGCAATACGGATTGCAGACTCGCTATTGAAGTCACTATCGAGCTTTGAATCTTAGAAAGCTCAGGCTAATTTGGAACCGTGTGTATGTAGCTCGTATGAGACCAACGCGCATCTTTACGAAAGCGCGATAAACACGCACGAGGAACACGATGTCTTGGGAATACCCGCGGAGATGGTGCGAAAGGTAAACGGAGGAGAACCAGCGCGAGGAAGAGGGAACGAAGAGAGAAGTCGCGCAGGCGCTGATCCAACGTGTGGAGAACGCTCATCGTCCGCGTGGCGCGAGTTAGAACTTGACTTGGTGCTTTTAGTCTTGTTCCATCCCTTCGTCCATCCTCGTCCTTGCCGGGCGAGAGCAGTCCTCGAAGCGGAGTATCGTCAGAAAAGAAATATGAATTCGGTGCCTGGACCGATTGCGGCAAAAAGGATGCGGAGCCGACGAGGATTCCGCCCGATTTGCCGACTGAACCGGCAAATTATTCGCCAGCGATGAAGAGGAACACGCGTCGCCTCCATGTGCCTTTCACGAGTTTGCAGCAGCGTGGTGAAGTGAAAGTTCATTAACGAAGTCTCCAATAAAAGCCTGAAATCATAAAAAAAAAAAAAAAAAAAACGAAATTCTTTGACTAGAAGATTGCCTTTCCGGTGAACATCTACACATGTGATTGTACACAATCGAAAATTGATACTTAAATCAAGGAGAAATAATAAGAAATAATCTTTCTTCTAAAATATAAAATTTTATAATCTGAGAAGAATATCTGTGGAGAGAAACTGTACATGTTATTGAGCATCGATCGATGTATCTGATTGCAATATGTCGCAAGAGATTTTTTCCGGTAGGAAGACTCTCTCAGTCGAGACGAATGATCCTTGCAATTCAAAGAGGAGTACTCGCGCTTTACGTCGATGGCGCATTCTAGCCAGAGCGCTGACAGGCTCACCAGAGCCGATCGGCAGCGAGTCTGACGAGGAGGTGTCAGTAAGACGATTCACCAGTTTTGGTCTGCTGAAGTGCGCGTTGTTGGAGAACATGCTGGCGGACGGCGAGTTCAGCTGGTGTGAATACTCGACTCAGCTGGACGGTCGATCATACAACGTGCAGATACGTCGGATAAGCAAATGCTTCACAGTGAGCGAGCTGATCGGTTTCAACAATACTGGCAATGTGTGCGTGTGGCCGTCCGAGGAGTGTCTGGCCTACTATCTATTGAGGAATCACGGCCTCTGCCGGAATCGAAACGTCCTTGAACTCGGTGGTGGCATGAGTTGTCTGGCCGGTGTACTCGCCGCCAAATACTGCAATCCTAGCACCATCACCCTCACGGACGGTAACGTGACCAGCGTTGACAACGTGCGTTGCATCGTCGCCAGAAATGACATGACACATCTGGTAGAGTGCGGAGTCGTTCAGTGGGCCCAAGCCGCCAGGGCTCTTCGACAGACGATGATCAACGGTAACCGCATTAAGGTGAATGCTTAAATTCGAGTTTGAGAGAGCGGGTGATAACCCGATGTTATTCTCAAAGATATAATGATTAAAATAGCATATTGCAACTATTGCATTGATTGTGAGAAAAATGATTTTATGATATGTGATTTATATTAAAGAAACTTTCTTATTATTAAATAAGTAAGTATAGGACTCTTATTCTCAAACATAAATAGAAATTAAAAAGACAAATTAAGAGTCAAACATTAAAAATTTCTTTAATCACATAGTAAAAAGATAAAATAAATTAATATAAATTAACATGAAAAACAAGATTTCTTATTATAGATGAAAAACAATTTCTTATTATTCTTTAAGTTAAAAATTTTGTTGTTCTAATTAAAATATTTTTAAATTAAAAAGTAAGAAAGTTTTTGTAAGTCACACCATATCATACAAAACATTTCTCTCAATGTAGAGTCGGTGAACAGGCGAGAATTAATAGAAATAACATTAAGAGGATTCTTCAATCGTTGAAGAGACTCGATAGGTCACAGGAATCGCATCTTGAGTTTCACTAACACAATTTCAATAGTTTCCAGATATTCTATAAAAATTTATTTTAATTTAGGTCGCAAAAGTATTACACTATTTCGCCTTTGAAGTTGTATGTCATAAATACATTTTAACTCACCATCTTTATTTCTCCAACATGGAAACGTATTTCCATTGCTTTTTAATATACTGTATTCGATGTGATTTCTATGAACAAAGAATTGCGGGCGCGTAATAAAAACATAAAAAAGCATATCCTCAAAGCAATATTGAAACGTGACGGGGATGCTTTAACAATGGTACACAGTTACATAAAGGCTAGAAATTAAATATTGAAAATGTTAATGAGAAAAACATTTTTTATCACGGCACAGACATTAACGTTTATATTAAATAAAAACCTGTTCGTAGTATATTACTACGAACTCCTACTTAGAAAAATTAAATTATCGTAAATTCGTTACAATAATAAGAAATATTATGCGTTGGAATTTTCCCAATGAAACATCTATTTTGTTTTTGAGCTCTCAAATTCCCGGTAATATATACGGGTCTTACAATTTATTAGATAAATATATCTTGGAAGTACGAGAAAGCTAAACATTTGCAATTACATACATTTTAAGGATCTGCTGGTTTTTTGAGAATCGAAGGGTTTGCTTCTACTTTGCTAATGTATAGAATTCAGCCTGGTCGCCGACCCTGCGATCGAATAATGCGTCTCGTAAACTCCGATCGCGACGTGATTCGCATCTGTTACTAGGACGATAGTGACGAGTTTGCTAACTGTAATCGACGACGGATCATCGGATATCGACACGCCCGGTTTCGCGGTTGCACGTTCCAACAGCAATGCGCTGTTCGTTGGCACGATCAATGAGTCATTGCGATAATTACAAGCCGATAAATAGAAATTGAGGCTTTGTCAAGGAAGCGTAATACAGTCGGGAAAAATAAATAGAGGAACTATGAGTGGTCGCGATCGAAGAATGGTTCGTACTTTCGCGATAATAGAGTTGGCGTTTTTGAAGAAATTTTCCCGAAGTCAGAAAAGTTTAAGGACAGGAGAGATTCTGAGAGTTTGGCAAAACGATAAGTCTCTCCCTAAATCTGAGTCAGTGAATAATCAAGAATTATCAGTTTTAAATATGCCATTGGTAATTAATAAATGTACAGTGTAATTCAACTAAAAAATCAATGATGTGGAATTCTTAATTTTGCTTTAGTAGATAAGTATATGCATTCAATTTATATTAGAACTGACGTGTACGTAACAGTATTTTATAATTATACTTATAATGCACAAACTTTCTTTTTCGGTTAAACTTCACTGATTACAGTGAACTAATAATCAATGATATCCACTGATTCAGATTTAAAGAGCTGATTTTTTTTCCTAATTTATGCTGCATATGAAATATGCTATCATCATGAAAAAGGCATCATGAAAGAACGTATCTCTTGCGAGGCACGTCCTAGAGTCACGTAACAATGACTTATCGTAGTATATTTCGAGATGTCGTACTATCACAATGTGATTGTCACTGCTTATTTATGGGATATTTTAGAAAATATATACTATGGCGGAAATACAATACTATGCTATATTTGAATTTTTTGGTAAAAATTTAACTCAGATTTTTTAGATTAATATCGGAAATTAATTTTAATAAACTTAAGGCTTTTCACAGATCAACATTTTTATCTACGTATTTTTTAATGCTTTTAATTTTTATAAACTTGCAGAGAAAAGGGCATTAGGAGTTAAGCGCAGATAACTTTACGCAAATGCTAATATATAAGTTTTGTTTATTATATATTAGCATTTGCGTAAAGTTATTTGCGCTTGACTCCTAGTGTCCCTTTCTCTAAGTTTACATTTGATCTATACAGGAGTTTTTGTTATTTAAGATTATTAAACGCTTTAATTTTTACGTTATATTGCTAGCATATTCTGATGTTGCTAATCTTTTAAGAGAGATAACGCCACTCTAGAGCTTGAAAAAAAAGATATTTTTTTGATCATTTTTTACGGAGATATATTGAAGAAAATGGGAAATCTGTTTATAGGAGTTTATTATACGTGTTCTGAAATACAGTAGGATCTCTTTATACTCACATGCTCGAGACCAAATGTGAAAATAAAGAAGTTATCTTAGTTCCGTCCCAAAGCAGGACTGTAAGCAGCCTTCTTAAGTACATATGTAGCACTCACCGAGAAAAATGTTTTAATAACTATTTATTTTGTTAAGATATGATTATAACAAAAGATTTCTTACTTTATTAATAAGAAAGCTTTTGACACACAACTTGACGAGATACTATATTTTCTTGCCACATTTTTAATTTTTGATCCGGAAGCAATCTTCTCAATTCTCTGTTGCTTATTGTTTATTATTATACACTTCCTCTTCATGTTTACACTTAAAAATAATTAAGCAACTAACAATTAAGCAATAGTACATGTGTAACAGTGGGGGATAGTTGTTTACAGCGCGGGACGGGCGCGAGCGCACGAGCGAAGCGAGTGCGTACGCGCGCCCATGTCGACCTATAACAAATACGCCCCCACTCGCTACACATAGAATTTTTCATTACAAGTGCTCGTCGTAATGTGCCTATACCGAAACGTTTTTGCGTAGAAGAGCGGGGTTAGAGAAATAACTCAACGGCTTGAGGTATTGGCTATTTCCTGCACGCAAAAGCGTTGAGGTATAGGGCACATTACGTGCACGCGTAATGAAAAATAATTTATATATAAGTGATAGGTTATCCCCAAAAGTTACAATTGAGCATAAAAAACCTGGGTGCGTCTAAGTAGATAACTGTGGATTGTTTTCTGCGCAAGCAGTTGTCATGGAGACGCGTCACGTAGGTTACAAACGTGTGCTTATACGGAGGTTGACTGTAAACTATTGGGAGATCGTGACTATGATATAAAGAGGTACTACTGTATATAAAAAATTTTTATATTAACATTTTTAAACAAAATGGCGGTTACATGACATGAAACTCAAAACCACTTCTCGCCGAAGGGGCTACACGAAAAAGTTTCTTTCACAATTTTCAATCTGGAACAAAAGCCAAAATTTTTTTAAAACTATATATGATTGGTTACAGAAGTACGTAGGGGGTTTGGAAAATATTGAATTTTGAAAAAATAGTGCTTATCTAAAAAAAATTTATTTTATCAGATATAGTAAAAAAATTTCACCATAAATTGTTTATAACAAAAAAAGTTGATAAACTATCAAAAAAACCCTCACTTCTGTGTAAAATCTAATTACGATGCTATTGTCCAAATTTGGAATGAATCGGTCTAATTGTTCTAATTTTGTTTCCGGCAAACTCGAAAAACGTTGTTATGAGAAAACGCGTTTAAAATTTTACGTATTAAAAAAGTATAATTTTTTTATGTATCTCTAGTCGGTAATGCCTGCGCTGTAGATTTCACCTTCTATATTCAACTCATTCTCCTGCTCTGCGTCTTTTCTGGGCAATTTTAACGATGCCCTTGGCCTCTTTTGCATCCGATAGCGAGCGCTCTGAAAACTTGACACTGCGAGCATCGGTCTCCAAACAGTAACAATTTGGTCCAATGGTCAAGCTCAAGAGTTTCATAACTTGCATTATACTTGAAAATCCATTATTGTATATGCACACAGCTAAATTTGCAACTGTGTCAATTTTGTACAATTTTACCGCTAGAAATAGATTTTGGAGCCATCGACTATACGATAGCGTTGAAACGCATTTTCTTAATGGTCTGAGGTTTCACTAATACTTTTCTGAATTAATATATTACCTATGCCATCTACAGGTACACTGAAAACTTTCCTTTTCGTTATCTCATTTGGTAAGACCATTACAATAGCTAGAAATTCGGAGCGTCCCATCCATCAGATTATAGACCGAGCGGTGACGCACCATAAAGGTTGTTTCGGTTTCAAAATAAGTACTTAAAAATTTTTCCGCTCTACAGGACCAAGTGTACCTCATTTTTAAGATTAAAGCATCTTTAAATGCAAAAAAAGAATTCGATTTTATGAAAATCTTCTATTCTAGAAAATTCTAGAGTGACGTTACCCCTTAATATTTTCAAGTAAAACATTAAAAAATGTAAAAGCTCAAGCTAGAAAATATATATTTAATGTCCTGTGTGTTCTTCTCGATATATACTGCAAGAACAGTCATATGAAAGAATTCCCACGTGGTCTTTGCGACGTCCGGTTCAGATTGTATAAACGCACTATTCGGATATTTTCGGCTAAAGTACCTCAGCTTCATTTCCGGTAGTCTTTATAATGTAACCTTTGTGTTTTTTCGGTAGCTCACAACGTTCCGCGCAATTGGTATTTTTTTGTAGAAAATTTCAGCTTGATTGGGACCAATGAGATTTTCACTAGCCAACCAGAATCGAAGATCATTCGATCGATAGATTGAGATTAATTGCAAAAACGACCATTTGACTATTTATGTGAAAATCACCGTCGAATTTATCTGAAAAGTTCTGTCGACATTGAAAAATCGAACGTCTTTTTAACATACCTGCGATTTTTGCGATAGAGTTCTGTAGATTTTTCTTTAATTTGATACACGGAAGAGTATTGATTTCATTTGATATATCCTCCGTGGAACTCAAATAATAAACTATGGGAACGATAGTTATTATACTTTTATTGGTTAAGTCGAAACATTTCGCGAATAAACTTGATGGAGATATAGGTGCAGGTAATCATTTACAGTTTACTTCGATGTTGTATAATATTTCACCGTCTTTTATATTAGACACATCGAGGCACATGGGCCATCTCTTGTTGGGGTACCATGGGTCATTACTAACAGCGTTTAGAACAATTTGCGTAGCTGCAGAACCGTATATGCATAAAAAATTATATAATCGTATTTTACGAGTGTCTATGATAAAAATATAATTAGATAAATCTCTTTATATGTATATATATAGTTATGTATAACCTATGCAAATTAGTCTGGATAGATTTTCATCGGTTTAGATTAGGTTTAGATTAGGTTAAGTTTTCGTGATAAAATTGGGCAATACAAATTCTTTTATATTCTTTCAGAAAATACGATAAAAATTATTAGAGAATATAAAAGAAGTCTAAAGATACATATGTATCTAACCCATGGTACTCCGGGCATGGGGTAAAAATTCAAATAGTAAAAAATACATTAAAATGTAAGATTTTTAGTCTCAATTTTTTTATATAATTAAGAAATAATGTATATTTTAAAATTTATATTGAACATTTTTCACAAATATTAACTTGTTTTTTATATAAATAAAAAATTCTTTTCAATTTTTATTTAAAAAAGAAGTTAATAATTATAAAATATGTTCAATAAATCATAAAGTATACATATACCTTAATTATATTAAAAAATTGAAACTAAAAATCTTACATTTTAATGTATATTTTTTACTATTTGAATTTTTGACTCATGGTGCCTCAATCTCCCTTACATATGATAAAATTTTACTACATACGTTAAAATCTCTATAGTTTTAAAGGATCGGAAAAACCGAATTTTTCCAATTTTTCCGCAGTCCAATTTTTTTAGTTTTTTCCCAAAGGTGGAAAAATTAATTGGAAAAATTCATGCGTGTTCGTAAAATATCTATACCATAGGGTACAGCCGACAGTGGGGTAATTTGGATAAGTTAACAGAAATTATATTTTGAAATGATATTAAAGGTTTAGGTCGCATAATGTATTCTGTTAAACATATATAAAACACAAAATATAGGTTGCGTTTAGCAGAAAAAGTAGCTTTTGATGTAAAATTCTTAAACATGATTGGTTTACACATTTAGATCTAATAAGAGAAAGAACTAGACCTAAGAGGAAGACCAATCATATTAATAATTAAAGAATCTTACAACACAGTTGCAAAGCTGCTTTCTCTGCTAAACGCTGCCATAGTTTTATATTGCACCAATAGTGTATGTTCTGTATATTTGATTGAATACAGTATGCGACTCCAATCTTTACATACAATTTCTGTTAATTTATCCAAATTTCCCTGCTGTACGCCCTTCGTTATGCACTAGAGGAAGGTTAGATTAGGTTTTACTATAAAAATAGATAGAAAACTAAAAATTTTAATAAAAATATGATTACATAATTTTCTGAATCACATTAATTTGATGAAGGATACACTAAAAATGAAATAGTATGTCATTTTGATAGCAAAATTTTTCCCCCAAAAATCGGGTTTTTTCCAGCAATTTGAAAAAAGCGATTTTTTTAAAACTATATCTAAATTACATAAGTTATAATTTTGTTGAAATATCAAATAATATGTAGAACACTCAAGTTGGTTGCTCAGAGATGTATTAACAATTTTTTGCAGCTCATCATGCTTGAATTACCTACCTAATTATTATTTCATACATATAATAGTCCAACAATATATTATTATATTTTCTGTATCTAGCTAAATTTTTAAATACACTAAAATATCGTTCTTTCCGTGCAGTAAATTATAATACTTTTTTCTGAATCGATATATTTTGCATGTCTATAACACCAATTACTTCTGGATTACATATAACAACGTTATATAACTTTCTTTTGATTTTTTTAAATAGTTTTAAAGAAACGAAGAGATTACTAAAAAAAATTACTTTAAAATTTCGACAGATTGTTTTATCTAGTAAAACCGTTTTTTATACGTCACAAGAAACGATTATAACTTCTCGAGCTACTTCTTTTACATTTATACAAAATTTCAGATTCTCTCGATTATAAAGTTGCCAAACTTCTCCTGTAAGTATCTCTCGCAAATGTACTAAGCCAATCTTTCGTTCTTCGGATTTTATGATTTCAATCAGAGCAATATGCGTATACTCGAAGTTGAGATTTGCGACATTGACTCGTTCTTGTTTCAATCGCCAGATTGAAATCTGGACTCTTCATTATGATTTCTCGATGTAGACCCGGACGACCGACGAAAATATTCGACTGCCATCGGGTCTTTACGATGTGATCCTGAGCGCTGACTGCCTTTTCTTTGACGACGCTCGTCTGGATCTGGTGGAGACGATCTATGGCTGGCTAACCGACGACGGGGTCGCCCTGATAATGGCACCCAAACGTGGCACGACATTCCAGAAATTCGCTGAGGCGTCGATCAAACGTGGCTTTATAGCGCGCCAGACAGAACGGTACGATGACACAGTGTGGTCGAGGCATCTGGAGCTGCTGAAGAATAGTTCGGAGTATTGTCCGGATCTACATTATCCGGTACTGCTGGAGCTCACTAAGCAAAAAAAAACGCCACCCGGATGATCAACGAGGACGACGAAGACAACCGGTCAGACGAAAGTCTCAGCGAGGAATGAAAATATGTCTGTGAACATGTTCTTCTTTTTGAATATGTACACTCTTTCTTTATGTCTGTACGCGCAATAAAATTATTCCGGAAGGGAATGAATGTATTACTTCCGAGTGAAGATGCGCGTTCGCTGTAATGGGATATAAAGATACATAAAGCTGCCTTTATGTCATCCAGCAATGTCAAGGTCAATTTTTTATTAGTGCATCTGATGAAACGTTTAGCAGTCACATCCACTCGCGGATCGATCTTCCACTCGTACGTATCGTTCCACATCATCGCTGCTATCGGAAAAGTTCAATAAGGAATGTATTATGTGCAACATGCGAGAATTGCTTGGCGATCTCTTTTGAACGTGCCTAGTCTTCCCTCCTCCTCGTTAATTAACCCATGAATGTTTTGTGATACCCGATTTTATGAATTAATGCGTATCCAAAAATACAAATGTTACGCTCTAAATTCTTTAGAATAAAATCTCACTCTAAAGAATGAAAATTAAGCTAATGTAGAAAAAGAATGGCTCAATTTTTAATCCTTGAAACTTTACTCTTCGGAGATTGACTCTAAAATGTTTCAGAAAATAATTATGTCCGTGCTTTTAACGTCTCGTATATTTATTTGAACTGAACTACGTATGATCAATTTGGTAGATGTACAATATTTATTTAAAGCGTGTCTTGTAGTGCGAATATTTGCTGCAAATATACGCGGAATGGTGAAGCGAGTCATAATCCTTCGCTTTGAATTAGTTTAAAATATCGTAGAGACTCCACAGATATTATTTGCAGGTGAAATTTCTGGCACCACTTTGCATGCGCCACATATCAAGAAATAAGAAGTGAATTTCACCGGTAAATATTATAAAATGTTTCGAATTATTGAATTCTACGATGAGGAAGAATGTCGAACTTAGGTTAATATTCATAGTCGATTTCTTTTTTACTTAGATGATGCTTTAAGACCTTAGAAATAAGGTACAAAAGGTCTTATAGCGAAGAAAAATTTCTAAGTATCATTTTTGAAAGATTAAAGCGTCGTATTTTTCGGTAATATGTGTAGCTTTTGCGAAGGGGTCCTTCCGAAAATAATAAAGGAATTAGTTACGTACGACTTGATCATCTCTAAAATTGGCTAAGAAGAATCAGGAAGAAAAGAACATCGACGAGGAAGGCCTATTGTACTATGTTGCAGGCATCGCAGATTAGCCTTTATGAATTTTTTCCAAAAATGTAACGAAAGAAATAAAAAAATATATTTTAGATCTTTGTTGTATCATATGTACGTACATTAAAATGTGAAAAATGTTTTTTTATAGTTATTTTGTTACAAAATGGCGGCGCTATAGCTCTGCAATAGTAACGTCTTCTCATGGTCAATGCTCTGCGGCTGGAATGATAACTCCGGCAATTTTTAACCTAGAACAAAAAACCAAAAATTTTTTTAATTTAGAAAAAAGCTAGAGAGTCGTACGGAAATTGTAATACACCGTTTTTTGAAAAAATAATACGAATTTGAAATAAATGTTATATTTAAATGGTAAAAAAATGTTTACATAAAAAAATATGCAACATAAAAAAAATCGGTACATCTTTCTCTAGAGAATGCAATTTTGAAGCTACTGTTAAGATTTCAAGTAAATTGGTCAAGATTTGTGGGAGTTATGTTTCCGGCCAACTTGAAAGAAGTGATTTCGAGAAAAATGCATTTAAAGTAACAATCAGCGATAGAAATGTTACCTTTAATCTGCGATGCCTGCAACATAGTACAATAGGCCTTCCTCGTTAATGTTCTTTTCTTCTTGATTCTTCTTAGCCGATTTTAGAGATGATCAAATCGCACGTAACTAATTTCTTTATTATTTTCAGAAGGACCCCTTCGCAAAAGCTACAAATCTTATCGAAAAGTACGACGCTTTAAACTTCCAAAAATGACACTGAGAAATTTTTATAATTTCGCTATAAGACCTTTTGTACCTTATTTCTAAGATTTTAAAGCATTATTTAAACAAAAAAGAAAAAAACGATTTTTTGAAAATTCTAGAGTGGCTTTACCCTTAAGTAAGCCTAAGATATTAATACGATTCTGGTTTGTCACATTTTAAAATTGTACTTAAGATTTTAAATGTGTAGAAACTGACTATGATTATCAGCCCTAAAGTTATCTGTAAAATATTTATGTCATGATGTACATCGAACGATAAAGATTGTATTACAGAAAATAGGATTTTAATAAGACAAAGTTTTCGAGGATTAATCGTTGATTTAATAATTCATTGACGTTAATCTTCGAAGAAACGTATTCATAAGTTATGAGTTCTTCCAGAATAGATCGTATAGTGTCCATTACGTCTCATATATTTTTCATCTGATGTTAAAACGTTCTTGATAGAAACCTTTCTTAGATGTACCTGATTTTATATCGAACCTAGTAGAAACGTCAGAAAGACGATCGAGTTCGAACTAAAATGTCGTTTATAATACGGAGGGGGGGAGGGGGTAACGCGATACTGGTAATTTTATCAATCATCAATTAAACGTCGATAGTAACTAGATAACTCGAGCAATCTTTTGAATTCCTCGTTATTGTTTGCAACCAGTAGGACCAATTGTATAGACCGAGTAATATTTAGATACAGTCTACCATAACTGATAGACTGCGAAGTCATTTCCAGCAAATTCTATTCGTCGCAAAACTGCACTAAAAAGACATCTCCATATTCATGAATAAGAAAGAGAATATAATTCGTTTAATGCTATTTGGGTTCAAAACTGAAGCGAAATCTCTGACAGGAGCGAAATATTGACATTTACTGATTCAGCGGTCCGTTCAGAATCCAACGTTGGATTCGAACATTAATGAAACATCAATTGTTATGATTGTTATTATAAACAGAGACATAGTTGCAGGATAAATTTAAGAATTCCAGACGAATTCTTACGCAAGTCGATTTTGCCTTATTTATATTACATAAATTGTAGTAATTTATTTATTTATTTATTTAGATGCGTTTATATCCTTATGACGAAGGAATTCTCGAATATTTTTAAGCATCTCCGAACGCGTTATGAATCTATTACCTCAAAGGACCAATATTTATAGGTACAGTTAAGTCTAGTCAGAATTACCAAATGTACTTCCATTATTGAATATCTTCTTATATATATAAAAGTTAAGTGTCCATAAAATCTCTTTATTGGTGTAGAAACAGATTATAATAAGTTAAAAAGTTTAGTTACAGGAAATGTCATTATATATGTATATGGAAAAATTTTCCTAAATATCTAAAAATTTAGCTAGATGCTGAATCTGAAAATCCAAAAATAACACAAGCCTACAAAAAAAATATCCTGTACTCTGATGGAAACCAAAATATTTTTATGTATGACATAAAAATAGGACTATCCTGGGCAAATTTTCAATCTAGAACAAAAAAATGGTTCAAAAACTTTGAAATTTACTTTTATTTATATATTCTAAGACCATTGGCAAAAACTTGTGGTTACACCTAGATTATATGTTTCCCGAGTTGAGAAATATTAGCTATGTATACGCCGTATCTACGTTTTCTACACTCTTTGCATAACTTGTAACGATGAACTGTGACAAGTAAACCTACAGAAGTATCACTCACTGATTTTTTAATGAAACTTTGCAAATTTGTAGAACTTTGAAAAATATATGACACGTATTTTTTTTTATCGGCAAATGTTCTCTGAAGAGTGAAAACTACTCCTTAAAGATATGGAGTAAATTTAACATATTAGGTGAAATAAGTTGAAAATTTTAAAAAATAAAATGTGTTAGGGGGTTTTTGGAGCCGCTGAAATTAAATCTTATGTTAAAAGTATGAAATTTAAAATGGCCAACTCAATATGGCGTCCAGATACTTATTTCATATAATATGAAATAAAAAAAGTTGAAAATTTTAAAAAGTAAAATGTATTAGGAAGTTTTTGGGGTTACTGAAACTAAATCTTATGTCAAAAGTATGAAATTTAAGTTTTCTCCACGTGTCACGTGCGATTATGAAATGCGGCAGGCACACAAGCGTTTTCCCTTTTCACTGACGCATACATACACTTGTAGATAGGAAGTAGGAACGGTCTGATGTTTACGTATTACTGTTACTGAATGCTACTTTTTAAAATTTTCAACTTATTTCACCTAATATATTAAATCTATCTCTCACCTTTAAGGAGTAGATGAGGATTTTCACGTTCAGAGTGGATCTTTACCGATAAAAAAAATACGTGTCAAATCTTTTTTATATAGTTCTACAAATTTGCATATAGTTTTATTAAAATCGGTGAGTGATACCTCCGTAAATTTACTTATCAGAATTCATCATTAGAAGTTAAGAGGTGTAGAGGACGTAGATACGGCGTATAGACGGCTGAAAAGTATTTCTCAACTTAGGAAACATATAGTGTAGGTTTAATCACAAGTTTATGCCAATGGTCTTAGAATATATCAATAAAAGCAGATTTCGAGATTTTTAACCCATTTTTTTGCTCTAGATTAAAAATTTGCCCAAGATGGTCCTATTTTTATGTCGTATTCAGCGACTCAACATAAGAATAGCTGGGTTTCCACAGAGTACAGAATACTTTTTACCTTATTAGAGGAACTACATACGCGGTATATAAAATTCACACATAATGATAATTATGTGTATATACTTATTAGAGGAACTACATACGCGGTATATAAAATTCACACATAATGATAATAAGCATCGAGATCTAGCTTTGACCGAGATAGGCTTAGCTTTGTGCTTCCTTCTTTCTTGTTAATTGTTTAACAATTGTATGGTCGTATAAATATAAAATTAAGATTCTATTATTTGTTAGAATACTTTTTTTTTGGGCCTGTGTAATTTTGGACTATCAAAATAATTATGTAAACGCTTAAATATTGATTACAATGCTGTAAAAGCTTTAACATTTTCTTAATTAGCTCAAATGATCTATTGTACATAATTATTTTGATTGAATT